AGTATGTAATGTTAACACGTACTAATCAATATCCGGTAATAAAAGTGATTATATTACAGCTGTTCCCAGGCGGTAATTCAATAAACTCCACTCAAATCATCTTACGGAAACGTTACAGTAGTAACAATAGTTACGGAGGAAAAGTTACGTTAAGTTCAGTGACCTTGCGGACGCACCTTATTGATGCGAATGAATATCTTAGTTTAAGATTTGCGTGCGGAGGATAGCTTCAGTTTATATTACTTTTTGTGGTATTTTTTTCACCAGTTTCATTTCCTGTCTTTTATAGTGAGCGTTCGTTATAGCAAGGTGTTCGTAATAGCGRGGTGTACGAAAAAAACGTTCTAGTGCAATTTGATAATGTTTGTTTTTTGACGGAATATCTAAAAACCATGTTACAGATTTGAGTTTGAAGTCTGTCAAACATCCTATCGGCCACAGTACTAAAGCTCGGCTTTGTGATCTACTGAACAACAGCATCATCAGCCGTACAACTACCTTACAAAAAGAGTGCGTCTTAAGAAAAAGGTGAGTCCATACAAGACAGATACGCCTTTGAAAATCAAAAGCGCCAACAATTAAATAACATTCCTTTGCAATTTTAACTCAATCAGACGACCCTCAACGCTGATACTATAAGAAAGTTTTGAAATAAATARTAGTAATTACGTAATCATAGTCAAAGAGCTAAGCAGTTTCAGCATCAATGCTCATGCAAGCCAGCCGTAGGAGAACTTGTTCAGATGATATATATAATGTTTTAATTGTTTCAGTGAAATCAAATATATATTTAGACAAATACTTCTGCTGTCATTTAACACGTTACTGACTAGACCTATCGTGCTGTACAATTTTAACTTGCTAGCGGGGGGGAGGGAGGGGGGTCTATTTTGAGACAATAGATAACCGCACCTTTTGCTGTCGTTAAGCATTAACCATGTTTTTTGTCTTGTTAATTGTTGGACCCCTGGTCGGGTGTACACAATAATCAATTGAAATATAGCTCTTGGGGCAGGTGTACCTCAGAGCTCTCTATTAGTCGACCAAAGTATTTCTACAACCCACCTTCTGTTTTGCAAAGTCGACCATGATGTTGCCCTGATAATATGCATGGATCATAGACCATTTCTGAGAAAGAAGTTTGCATTGCATTGTGGTATAGATTTGGTACAAACATCTTTTGTTCACACCCAAATATGGCATTGTTTGTACCGAAGCTAGACCACAATGCACTATGATTTTGTATTTCAGAAAAGGTCAATGTTAGTTTTATAATTTTTTTGGATACGGTCTTTTTGTTTCTACAATAGCAGCGCACGATGGGGGTTTATAGTCTACTCACTTTTTCACGWCTTCTAAAAGAATCGTCTACAAACCCGTTTGTTCTCTTTCTTTACAGAAATAAAAAAGGCTGTAACATTACTTTAGAAGAAAAAGCAAAAACTACTTTACGGAAAGACCGAATAATAATCTCCCATCATGCTTTGCTATACAAAATGGCGTCGTTGTGTATACATGCATAGTGAGCCGGGTTGTTGAAAGTCCGAATGGGAGAATCTACGTAGCACTCAGTTGATGTAATATATTCATAAAGATATAATACAAAACACATAATACAATAGAACGAGAAACAATGGAATACAATACACTTTATGAATACATTACATCAACTGCRTGCTACGTAGGTCACCCCAAGTCCGAATAGCGTTAATTTAGTGAGTTCGAGTCCCACTTTTCAAGATGGCGGACACATTGTTCTCCGAAACTCCTGATGCATGTATTGCGCTCAGTTTCACCTTTCTTCTTCTTTAATATTTTATTCTGATTTGTGTCATTTTTAGATTAATTTACATCAATAAAGTCTCTACATGCATTACCATAGATATCTAAGACTCTACCTTTTTTCACCCTTAAATTTTAATTATAAAATATACCCACGCAAATGATCAATTTATAGACATTCGTGTGACGGAAGTGTCTGAAAGCGCAAAATATATATACGTTATTTCTGTATGCGTTTCGGTCTGTGCATCTTGCATCTACAATCTTCAACAAAAGGTTGCATGCGCTTTCATTTTTTTTCTGCAATGCAAGTCAAGTCATAGGTCTCCAACAAAGTTCTTATCTCGGTGTATATGTATCCGTTATGTATAACACATTTATGACCTTGATTTTTCTCTCYCATAAGTATAAGTAATATATGCCCGCATAACTAATATAATACGAAAGGAAATGTCACGTATATATTTAGATATAAGTTTTAGCTTTACCAAGTATCGTCAATCGTCGTCGTCATGAATCTCTTTCTCGTATTCGAGAGGCTGGACAATAACTCTCCTTATACGAGTTGAATTTTGACTATTACTTCATACGATGAAACTGATTTAAAAAGAATTCTGGTACATGTAGCTGGTTTAGTATATCAAAGGCGTCGTCATGCTAATTTTGTTGTTGTCATTTAATKGTTTACACCGAGCCAATTTCAAATCTCTCGTTCGTATGTTAATAAATATCAAATAAAGAAAGTTATTGCCTYGCACTACCAAAGAAAGCACATTCTTTTCCATGCTTGAGATCAATGCGCATGCTCTTGTCCAGGGAACGCTTACTGCGCATGTCATGAAATGTCCGACAATTCAATGTCAGATTTTGGCGTTTCTTTGTTATTTGCCAAAGTATCCTTTTTATGCTTTGCTGCCTTTAAACATCGTCCATTCTTATAAAGTTCTACAAACAATATTATACTGCTTATCAGAACAAACGTCACGACAAGGCCAGCAAACATGTATAACGCCATGTTTTCGTGATGAATTTTGGTTTCTGGGGAGAGTGGAGTCTGTCGGTCCATCTTGCCTCCAATTTTTTGATTTCGACTTGTCATGTTAATGTGATTAAGTTGATTTGGTTTTGTCTGTAAGTGCGTATGCGTTTGCAAGGTGGTTGGCACCTTAGTGGCCATGCGTGCTTTGCAGGCTCATTTGGATGCGCATTGCTTCTTGGGACGTCCTGGGATGATTTATTTCTATGAAAAGAAGCGAAAAATTGTAGGGTTATCCCTAGAATTACTCTGAGGTGCAAAATAACGAGGAAATAATCTAAGTGATAATTACAACCGAATTTTTAAAACCATAATGTTCTTGTCTCAAAAATATTTGGCTCGAGTAACCTGCACACGTGTTAGTCTATTGCAGTCACTCTTGAAAAAAGGAGTTTATTTTACAAAATTGCTTGGAAAATTTTTCCTACAGTCACTTACAGAAATGTTTTTCAAAACATTTCAAAAAATGCTATAGTAAATAAGCACCCTGCTCTCGAGCTCCATAATGCTATAAATTCTTCGATAAGTCACTCCGATATACACCAACTTATATAGAGATTAGCTTCAGTGTGCTTTTTCAGTTCTTTTCACTTTATYAAAAAACGCATACGTTTATATGTACCGTCTTTTTTTAGAAAAAAATAGTCAATATTATAAGTGCAACACAGCTTAACTTATCGCATAAGCAAACAAGACGATACAATAATTATTTACTCAAGTTCCCTAAATGAGATTTTCTGGATCTAAAACATACTGTAATTGTAGCTAGTGTATATAATTTTTGGTAAAATAAGATGTCCATTAACCGATGTGGCGTCTTACTTATAATCTGACAATTGTATAATTAAATTATCACTTTGTGGGTAAGACTTTTGACTTTCATCAAATGCCAGAAAACGCCTCACAACGGGTCGTACCTGTAATCGGCTTTTTTGAGGCGTCAAGTTAAGAAAGCATATCATTTTAATTCGTTTTAGYTGTTATTTTTTGACATGTGATTTCTCAATTATTGTGTTTGTATATTGGTTTTACAGTACAATTACTGTAACTTTAATGTTATGGACACATGAGCTCAGACGATAGCCTTACTAAGCCCACTTAAGCAATCAGGGGTCGATGAATTAGAAGAAACTGAGAAACTCACCTTTGTAAAGCTGTAAAAATCGRCCATGGAAGGTTTATAAGTTGCTGTTTATGTTGTCGCCCAAAGCCCCCTGAAGTTTGTCAAAATAAGGACATTACTATTTTAAGAATATAGCATTAGCTTTTGTTAGCGTATAGCCAAACGAGGAAACACAAAGGATTCATAAATTATTAGTTACTTGTGTAAGTCATGTCATGACAGTGTAAACATTTACCTGTTCATCACTTGTCAAGTTTGGCGGGTAGGGATGGGACGGGCACAGGGAATCCCCTTTCGAACGTTTGATCAATATAAGCCGCTATACTTCCGCCTTYGACTTGTAATTAACATTTTTTGTTGTTAGACCAAAAGTTGCAATGTTSACCATAAAAAATTCTGTTTAAGAATATTTTGGGCCAAAAGAATTTTAAAAAGATCTATTACTACATTGGGGTTCCTGTGCTTTTATTCTTGGTCAGCAGTGCTACTTCAAAGTACATGCTTGATTCGAATTTCAAAATGGCGGATGCACGAACAGGATTTTGCTTGTTTTGACATCAAAAAAGTATAGATATTAGGCCTTCACAGTCAAGTTGTTCTATATTATTCGTTACCAGTATGTCTCTTGTAGCGTACGGGGATAGTGATGATGGATCGAGTGACAGCGAGACGGAAGAAATCAGTTTAGACGCGAAGACTTCGCCGAAAGCTMGTACAACAACAGCTATCGACAACGTCAAAAATGTATCCAATTCCGAAGCATCTATCGATATAAAACCTTCCTCTCACACAGAAAAACGGTCAAARTTATCTTCWTTGCTACCAAAGCCGCAAAAGAGTTCACAAAGTACCATAGTGATTCATTCTGAACCGCAGAAAAAAWTGCTAGATTTGAAAGCTATWCRAGACGAAGACGAAGATGAAATCATTGATGTAGAGGAGGAATATGTACCCTTAAAAGAAATTAAAAAGAAATCTAGMAAAACTTTAGTTGAAAAGAATGAAGAGCAAAAGTCAGTCGGTAGTCTCTTTTCTCGTATGCCATCTCCATGGTCACAAGCTACGGGAATCTCACTCCCAAAGAAGCGAGGACATGGTRATGACTTAGAAGCTGCAAGCTCTTCCAAGAAAGGCAAACACCCTGTTAGGATTGTAGCACCAACACTCGTTGATGTAAGAACTTTTGCCTTTTATTAATTTTCATTCTAAATCTCCAAAATATTTGTTTTTATAGGCAATGAAACTCAAAGTATTAGACTGGAAGAAAGTGTACAAAATCTTGAGACTTTTTGTTTATTCCAGAGATTTGACAAAACTCATCCCTGACCATCWCTTGTAWGATCGTAAACAGCCATTTCTGTATTGTCTTTAAACAAATGTTTTGTATTCTTGAAACTATTGTCATACAGGCTGACTCGGATGATGAATCAGATGAAAAGAAAGTTTCAAAGACTGTCAAGCAGGCAAAGGTATGTTTTATCATAGTCAATCATTTATACATCACCATTTGGTATTCTTTACAGCTTTTGTTTGTGTTTTGAAAATAAAAAAAATACTTCATAATATGTACAAAAACGTACTCTTTATTATCTTTTATTTTATGGTCAATGAATGTCATAAGATTCAAACAAATGAATGAAAACAGATTGAGCATGGATATTTGAAGTAACTTCTTTTACAAAGAAACAAAAAAACACGACTGTGTTAAATGCCATTGGTGAAAGCCTTCATTACAGATAAAAATATGTTATCATGCATTCAACCAGTAATTCTGATCATTAGTTAATTTATTGATYTATATATTWTTGATTTTCAGTCTGGTTCTGGTCTTTCATCTTTGCTACCCAAACCAAAGCACAGYGTGACATTAACAGCTTCCAATCCCAACAAACCAACAGTCAAACTATCAAACAGAGCTCTCATTCCACATACTCTGACAAAGAAGCCAACCAGTAAAGAAACAAAAACTACTAAGAAAACAGAAGATGGAAAAAACAGTGACGAYGAAGAAGAGCCWGTTTCATTCTTTACCTTTAATGACAAAAATGACGTAGCAACGAAAGGTGTCARTAAGCCYAYWACTGTATCWGAACCAACTGAAACAGTTTCATTTAGCAGTAGCATAAAAGTGGCAAGTGTTCCTGAAGTAATAGATACTAAATCAAGTCCATTTGGCTATGAAGAATCCAGAGATGAGCCTTTGGGAGTATCTGAYGATCAGAGTAGCTATAGCTATGGTAATACTAGTGATGCAGATCAATATAGTGAAGAAACAACCACATACTACCAACCACAAGATGGTAGTCAACCTTACGTGAGTTTAGAATCTCTTTTGAGATTTTTACAAATGGATTTAGCTTTCTGTAAAGACAAATCTCACAGTCTAACAAGACTCTCATGTGTTTTGTAGTTGTCACATAGTTTTAAAGCGCTTAGAACAGAATTGGATAAGCACTATATAAGTAGCATTATTATTATTATTAAATTTGGATGGAAAAACTTTTGCCTTTCATCCATCAGTTTTGATCCTTTCATTCAATTCATTTTCATTCATTCATTCTTCCTTCCATGTCCGATTATTATTTTATATTATAGCTCAATTCTAACACATACGCTGATTGACGGATTTCATGAGAAAAGCTATGGTTTATTTCGCCAGTAAACCAGCCTGCTGTCTTCAAAGACTTTTGAGTCTAAATGTTGGACTCCCGCCCAAATTTTCTTTCTATTATTTTCTGCTATTTTCTCGTCTGACAGATCTTGTGATTTACAGATCTTTTCTYGTGTTCTTCCAACCATCCTGCGCAGTTTATTTCACCAGTAAACCGATTCAAGCTACCATTTATTGCTTAATATTTTGTACAATATCTAGGATTATGGAAGTTATGACCAAAGTGCCTACACAACCTATTATGATACGCAACCAACATACAGTCATTATCAAGAAACAGTTGAACCACAAATACAAGATATTGATATAGGCAAAGTAAGTATCTTATAAACCATCATTTGTATGATCTGACTCAATCATAAGTAATCATAGTCTACTTTACAGCCTCCCCTTTTGTTGGGCTTCCTGTGGGACAGGAAGCCCGAGAAAAGGGGGAGGCTGTGAAGGAGACTAAAGTGATCAAAAATAGMAAAAACTGCTTCAGAGTGATCGCACTTAAACTGTGCAAAAATGTGCTATTTAGTTGCATTTAGTAAATCGTATATGCAGTACATAAATTAAATTGAAGTTTATAAAGCAAATGAAGCATTCAATACCGTCTTGCTTCAGGTCCACTTTTAGTACAAATTAGTATTGCTTACATGTAGATTTGTACAGTTCCACAATTTAAGTGCGATCACTCTAATCCATGTTCAGCACAAAAATTACAGTATCTAAACTCACGCATATCATAAGTTAAAGCTTTGTTGAATGATATCATTATTTTTTTTATTTTGTAGATGCAAAGACTTCAAGGCAGAAAGAACCGCAATGAGCAGATCAACATCATTGATATTAATGCTGCAGATCAGACTGCTGATGCTAAAGTACAACTAACAAACCTAACAGCTGAACAGTTTGCTCACAAATCATCCAAGGTACATTCACCACAATGCAGTAGCTAAACTACACCTTGTTGCTTTATTGAACAGTTCTGTTTGCTTAAGCAGTAGACCCCCTTGTTCTCCCCTCTCCATTCAATGTCCCTGTGTTTAAGCCCTCCTCCACATTGGTACATGTATGTCCCCTTTGTTCAAGTCTCCCCTTGCTCATAGCTGTACTGGTAACGTAGAAATAAGTGATAATTTTGATTATTTTAGAAACAAGGAAACATGCCATCATCACAGCAACGTAGAAAACATCAAATTACATACTTGGCATTTCAGGTAAGGCATTGTTGGAATCTTTTCATAATTTTAAAATCAAGATATCGCAATGCTACCCTCTGAATCGATGTATAAAATATAGTTTAAATATAGACTTTTGAATGAGTACTCGAAACTTTTGTATCGTTACAGGCTAAAGAACGTGAGTTTGAACTGCAGCAACAGTGGGCTTCAAACCGCCAGACAAAAAGACAAACTCAAGCGAAATATGGATTTTGAAATAATGTAATACGAACTTATTTTGTAAATAAATTCTACAAGCCTTTAATAAACATACCACGTCTGTAATACAGTACCTTCCTTATTCGAACTTTTCATACGTGTGGATTGGTTTTTCTTTAGTTGAATGTAGGTTGACTTGAATGTTGCCGGTCGTGGAGTCAGAAGACTGATTCTTAAAGAACTAAGCATAAATGGCTCGAGTTCGGGACTGCAATGTCTCGTTAACACTGATGCGTTTTAGTATCGTTTGAATATTCTCAGTCCGCAAGGGAATAAAATTAATAATAATAATAATAATTCGTTTCCTTTATACGTCACAGCGGCCATCTTGGAGGAACTTCACATTGGCATCATTGTTCATTCCTCCAACATGGACGCCGGTCATTTATCTTTTGAATCTCAGGGAAATGATTGAAACGATCAATAAACTGAATAAAACGCATCAAGCACCAATAAAAAAATCAAGTTCTCGTGACAAAAATTGTTGCAATCGTTYCGTGGATGTGCTAATATAATCAATTTTTGTGTAAGTGTTAACGACATTCCGTTTTAACATCGACGTAACGTAACGTAAGCAATTCTAAGAGAGAAATGAATTGATGTTTGCAACGTAAATGTGAACTTATTTCGAAGTGTTTTTTATTCACTTAAGTATTATACATATTTTATAAGCTAAATACTTAATATATATTTTTATCCAATCCCCATTTTGTCAGATTGCCAGAAAKCACGTCTCTTATGAAGGGAGAATGGAGAAATTATTTAGTAGAGCATTATTTATTTTCACTTTTCCCAAAAAAATGTTGAGGAGTTTTACTTTTATGTTTTACAGACAAATTATAAAGGCATTTGTCCCCTACCTGTCTTAAGATCGCTTTGCCATTTACAACTGAAACCTCAATTAATATAGAGTGCAGTTACAATAACCGTGAAATAGTTTGCTATTTACAAAACGTTTCACGGATACAATGACTGCATGCACTCTATTCAAAGCTAAAGGTTAGAATTTGCTATTATCCTGGCCTTTTGATATTTAATTTATATTTAATTTATAGATATATAGTTGTGCAAGAATGTTTTAAGAAAACTTCTAGAAAACTTGGCGATCTTTTCGGTCAGTATAATCTGACTGCAAGAKCTTTGACGTWGAATYAAGTGAGTTTTCTGAACCATTTCAGTTTTAGAAGTGACAGACGAAAACAAGACGTTCTCATAAGRARAACGTTTTCTTGAACTTGTCCTTGTATGTAACGCCACTCGTTATCAATTACCAACGCCTTGCCAAGTACATCAGCTTAAACTCATCGTAAGGCGTGTCTTCTAGGCCTCCTCTTTGATGAATTTGCTGCTGACTTCTTTTTCAGAGTGAAGTATTTAGAGTGGATTCGAACCACTGACTTCACCACTGTTCCCTTGACATCGCGTCCTCGATATTCTTTGATATTTTTGTCCTTTTGTCCACTGCTTATTTACATTTAACAATATTATGACTCCAATTTTATATTCTTTGCAATTTTACATCGATTATGATACAAATGAAAGTTTCGAGTTTTATTGGGCCTTCGGAATAGGCTTTTCTYTGAATAAGATCTTTTGCCTTTAAAGGAGCTGCGCGCTTGTTATGACAGCTAATTTTACTTGAAATCCGTATAATTTATAGTTGAACGAGTTGATATTTTCTTCTTTCAAAGGATAGTCGTGCCTCTTTTTCTTTTTCTAGATTCTTTGGAAGCCCATTCTGGAATTGTTTCTAGAAATGAAATAATTTGAAATTGTAAGATATACTGTTATTGCTATTATCATCTTGCTTTAATCTCTCTGTAAAGTCGGAAATGGTACGTATACGGTAGCCTTAGTAGCAAACCTTGGTACGTATACGTATGTACCTAGCACGTATACGTTACCTTAGTGCGTAAAAAATTGGTACGTATATACGTAACTAGTACGTCTATATCAAGTTTGAAATAGTACGTATACAGTAGCTTTATAGTATAGAGAACCTCGGTATGTATACGTACGTACCTAGCATGTATACGTTACCTTAGTGCGTAAAACATTGGTACGTATATACGTACCTAGTACGTCTATATCAAGTTTGAAATAGTACGTATACAGTAGCTTTAGTAGAAAACCTCGCTACGTATACGTACGTACCTAGCACGTATACGTTACCTTACTTACCGTTAGCAACGTATTTCATATTTTCCCATACGACTTGAGCTTGTGAGAAGACGTACATACCCAGTCTACCACCGGGTAATGAATCGTCGTATATATTACCAGTATCTACGATATCATTTTGATCGGTTCTGATGGTTAACCTGGAAACGATGATTGCAAAAATAAAGACGTAAGACTTAACGTTAACCGGGCGAAAGTACAACGTCTGGAGCGTCATAAAGCGTAAATGCTGTGCGTCTGGCTACGTACATTGGAGTTTTTGCGCTTTGAATACGCATGCAAAACGTAACGCTATATTGTTACGTTACTAAAAATATTGACGYCCACTTGTCTACCAAGTACATTCACCGAAAACGCAACGACTTTACGTTTTATGTAAGTTACCTTAAACGTACCTTATGAGACCGATMGAAGGCCGATGAATCAAATTCCAGTAGTAACGCGTTTTGTCCTTCCATCCTTGATATGATTTGTCTGACCAAAGCAGTTTGACCTGTGAAAACCAATAACAAGTCACGTTATCGCAGATCTGAGATCTTGTGMCAACCTCTTACGACATAGCGGATATTACATGGGCGTACGGAGATACGRATTTTATCTTCGAGTGTTGAAAAGATCTCTAACGAGTGAGAGATTTTCAACACGAGAAGATAAAATCCGTATCTCCAAGCGACTATGTAACATTCTATTTATCATACAATTACACAATTAAAGAAAATTATGTCGTAAAATATATACCTTTTTTCTTACTTCCACTATATAAAGAAACCTCGAATGTGTTATTTTCACTAKCGAAAATAACAACTTTGCGAAATGGAGAAATATAGAAATATATCACAAACCAACCGCTCGCAAGTTAATTTTTCTCATCAAGGAGGAAACCCAGCGAATTTTTGAAAAATGCATGTATTAACGCAAGCCATAAACGTTACTCATAAGTAMTACGTAAAAGGATAACCTACCTGATCTTTAGTATCGCCCGTATGCCACATTGCATTTCGTAATGCTTTTCCAGGACCAGTTTTAGAATKAATCAACTGAAACAGAATTTCGGAATGTTGCCAAGTTTGCAATTATGAATAGCCTCTTTAGTCCAGGTTTTCTTTCATTTTTTTTTTTAACGAATCTATCCCGGATGTCAACACGSTTTATGACGTCATTATGCAATAAGCCAATTGAAATCAGACAAAAAGAAAAAGAAAACCTTGCTGATATTCTGCGTACCTTAATTTGCACCCCTCTAGATGCTTTCGCYCGGAAAGGGCTCATGTTCCAATATACTTGGTCAGACTGTTTCCATACCATGGCATAGTAGTGTTTATTATCAACATAACTCCAAATCAAACCAATGAAATCATCATCATGGTTTGTGTCCACATGAAGGATTCCGGAGAAATCCACACCCGTAAATCGAGTGTAACCTGGGAACGAGAATGAAAGTGACGTCATATGGGATATTTTTGGCAGCAATATGACGTCATAGTGAATAATATACAATGATAGTAATAAYAATCTTGAGACGTTAAGGAACTCGCAACTCGAACTCGATCACAGATCAACCATTTTCYACTATAGACACTTTGCAGTTCGTTGAAATGGASGACAAAACATTGGATTCTGATTCCAAAGACGGCGAAAATCTTTGSTTTGTCATCCAGRTGAAGATGCTTTGACGTCAAATGCAAGGCGTCYATAAGTACGTATTATGAATACTAAAGGTGATTTATGTATTTACCAAGTGCAATTCCAGGGTTGCTGTCTTCAGTTTCTCTGACTGTGTTACCCTGTTAAAAAACAAACAAATAATATTCCCTYAATTTGCCACGWCCWCATCAACTCGGGTTAGAAAGAAAGATATTCTTGTGTCTTTTTTAGCAATAAACCTGTCTTTATATATAATTTGCGTAAATAGTCTTCTTYAGGGTTMCYTGCGCCATCTTGAAAGGTAGMCGTKCCTTTGCATCGAAGCGAGACGACCGTYGAGCGTGCAATGATAGAAACCTTCTTTCAMACCTACAGATAATTATTCACAGGTATCTATCACTGCACCTTCAACGGTTGTCTCAATTCGATTTAAAGGCACGGYTACCTTTGWAGATGGCGCTGGGAACCGTGAAGGAGACTATTGCCTTAAATTACAATATATCAATTGAAGAAATTCTGGACGCTTAGTTACTTATATAAATATATTAATACATAGAGTAGGTGATATTTCACATTTTTATTCCTTTAGTTTGTCATAAAACTGTGAATTATGCTCRAATGAGAATCTGATAAGAGCTAGGACATGATCAATATCTCACCTTGGCATCAACCAGCCATATGGGGTCCTTGCCTGATCGTTCGGATGGGTTAATCAGCACTTTCTGGAGTCGTTTGAAGTTCGTAGCAAATTCGTGTCTGTTGAATGGGTAGGCGTCGAGATAGTCAGGTATTCTATCTCCGTCCTTGTCACTCTGGCATTTATCTCCGAAACCATCACCTGAATGAAGTTAAGAATGTGGCGTTTTAGTCATATCAATAGCGTTCATATTAAACGAATGAATAGGCTAAAAATGTACGTACCATTGAGATCTCGTTGCATTGAATTCGCAACAAGAGGACAGTTATCACTGACATCTGGAATGCCATCATTGTCATCGTCATCATCACAGGCATCACCTAAATATCAGTATAGAGAAAAACAAGGCCAGAGAACATGTTATATCAATATTAACAACAATATCATTTTGTTCGTGTCTATTGGTAAACATTCTTTTTTGTCTTCAGTCTCATCTCTTTGTCTTCATCTCTTATCATTCCCTTGCRGAGGTTATATTCGAACCTCTATTAAACGTACTTAAGGCCCTCTATCTAGCGGTCACCCTCCATTACACGCCCACTCGTACTAAGGTCTCTCCTCAATTAACTACAGTTGAACCCCTATTAAACGGCACTCTATTAAGCTGCCACCCTCCATTAAACGGTCACTCATGAATTCCTTAAAAGTCGATTCTCATACATATATTTAATGTAAAACGACCTCTGATAAGCGGTCACCTAGTCTTTTCGCAAGTTGACCGCTTTAATGAGGTTCCGCTGTATAGAATTTGTTACGCGAAGGTTTTTACCAAGATACAAATATAGTTTGAAAACTTTTATAAAGTAGAGTACAAACACTAAAACTGTGCAACATAAATACCACTAAATACTGCTAAATTATGATAATTTTATTGTTTAATTAACACTATTTTTTATATGTAATAGGACTCCATGCTGTCCAATTAAGAAATAATTGGACGAGGAAAATTCCGAGGACTGCCAAAAATTGGACGAGGCCGTGGCCGAGTCCAATTTGGCAGTCAGAGGAATTTTTCGAGTCTAATTATTTCTTAATTGGACAGCATGGAGTCTTATTACCTATTAATTATATAGCCACATATTGATCCCAAATAGGTAAAAGCCAACCACAGCTTTTAACAAAAACCCAATTGAAAACCTGTCCAATTAATTTCTTAATTGGACAGGATTCCAAAATTAACGAAAAATCCAGCTTTTACCTATTTGGGATTAATATGTGGCTATATAATTATGTAGTAAATAGTGGAAAGTATTGCACACATTTAATATTTGTACTCTACTGAAGTCAAGGAGATAATATACATCGATACACTAAGAGCAGCTTACCTATGCCATCGTCGTCGTTGTCGATTTGACCAGGGTTGGAAACCTTCAAGCAGTTATCAATGGAGTCATCCACTCCGTCCTTATCTTCGTCCACGTTCTTATCACACTCGTTACCCAATGAGTCACCGTCTGTATCTCTCTATAGGACACAGTAACCCTTGTCAGTTATGGTATGATATAGAGGATATTACATGGGCGCGCGGAGATACGGATTTTATCTTCAAGTGTTGAAAAATCTCTCGGATGAACGTAGCGAACGAGTGAGAGATTTTCAACACGAAAAGAAAAAATTCGTATCTCCAAGCGGACATATAATATTCTATTTGTCATATAATTGTATATGAAAGCAAATTATGTCGTAAATAGCTTTATTTTTAATTGCACTATATAGAGAAACCGCGAATGTGTTATTATCACTAGTGAAAATATCAAGTTTACGAAATGGAGAAATATATGCATTTCATAAATAATTACATGATAAAATATATTATTCCATGATTTGGTAGAATTATCATCAAACTTCAACTTACAAGTCTAGTTTAATTGTAAAATTGTGCCATAATACATTGCCTGTCCAAAATCCCGTAAAAACCTTCAAAACAACGAGTGCATCATCCAGCATTGCTGGATGAAGTTCTTAGAGTTTTTGGTGCTTTGATAGAATGGCATCACGTGATTCAACCAAACGTCAAAATGCTCAACAGATGGGTCTGGGGGATTGTAGTTTCGCTCCTTTAATTTTGTCTGCATTTACTGAGTTTGTCGATCAACGTGTTGACAAAAGGAACATAGTCGATTGGAAGTCAAACCAACTGATTATAACAGTCATCCGATTTTTTCAGAAATTTTGATTCTTTTTTGAAAGATCTGGGGGGGGGGGAGGTTTGATCAATTTGTCGTCGAGGGAGGAGAGGGTAGGGATCTTACCTGCCATCTGTTCTTCACTGTTGGACAATTATCRCATGCATCACCCAACCTGTCTCGATCAGTGTCCTTTTGTTCAGGGTTGTACACACTTTTACAGTTATCATAGTTATTCGGCACAGCTGTTGAAATGAAGCAAGGCAGATTGGAGAACCATTTCAAATAGACTTTACTAGAAACCATTCTTCGCTGGTTTGGTAGTGTCGCATTGATCATTTACTTTTAAATCGACATCAACCCCACCCCCTCCCCCTTAACTTAAGACCACATCTACTACRGGGAAATAGGCGTTGTTTGATCMGATAATTGAAAATGGTTTTCGGTCTAACATACTCATTCTGGTTTGCAAAGAATAATCCGGAGAACATTGTAAAACTGTAGTGTTAGTATTTCCAAGTTTATGAAGGCTATATAGATTCAGAGCATCGGTAGTACAAATCCTAGGGTCGTTGGTTTGAAACCCAGCGATGTCGGAAATTATTTTTTTCCGAATTCATTTCCAAGGTTCTTTCTCCCGGAATAACCTCCTTCTAAGCACTATAACTTTCCTTTATGTCTATATCATATATAGATTCAGAGCGACTTGTATGCGACAAAAGATGTGGAAATGACACAACTCTCTTTTCTAAAACGATCGCGGTCCTTTCAGTGAAATTGTTAGAGGCACAGGACTTTGAATTTAACGTTGTTACTCAATAAAAAGAGGTAATGAGAAAAGGCAGATAGAGTCAACTTACCATCGCCATCGATATCTGAATCGCATGCATCACCAAGGCCATCTTGATCCAAGTCTCCTTGTACTGGGTTCTTGCGGTAAGGACAGTTGTCACAATCATTACCAAGGTTATCACGATCACTGTCACGTTGTGTTGGGTTAGGTATACGGGGACAGTTATCCTGTGAATTGATAAAGAGCGYGACAGAATCAGAGCCTTAGCCAATTCATTTTACGTTTTTTTACGTTTTCTAAACAAAAAGCGAGCTAATAAGCGATAAATAAGTCAGATAGTCTTACTATTTCATTTCTAATGCCATCACCGTCGATATCGTCGTCACATGTATCTCCTCGGCCGTCCCTGTCAAGGTCGTTTTGGTTTGGGTTKGATTTGTATGGACAGTTATCCTGAACAATAGAAATATCATCATCATCATCATCATCATCATYATTATTATTATCATTAATATTATTATTTTGTTATTACGATTCCTTAAGTTTCTTTTATCAGTGAATGTTTATACGATATGCAATTTTGTAATTTAAAATTATGAAGATAGCGGTCTTCACTTTTGAACCAACATACAGGTATATATATGATGAATGATGTTACGATGAAACTCATCTTTACTTAATATGATATTTAAGTAATAAGACGGTTAAGTTGTGATGTGATATTTCGATTTACTGGTAAATCATTCTCAAACAAGTGAATGTACAAATGCAGTTGTGTGATCATAAATGATCATAGAACAATAGAAATCTAAACAAGGCTAATTCCCTGGTATATTTCAGAATGAAACAATGTTGTATCGGTACAGTATACAAAGTAAAAATCGAACTCTTTATCTTAAATAGCACTAAAAATCAAATCAAATGGCCAACATGATAATATAAAAATATTATTTTCAATATCAGAGGATTTAAGGTATTATGAGGTACAGTCATACCGCTTTGCATTCCATAGCTGTGCAGTTCAAAGCCAAGTCAGGGATACCATCTCGATCTGTATCTTGTCCACAGAAATGACCATCGCCTGCATAGTTGGTTTGACACTAAAACAAAACAATCATGCATTCTGGGTAAAACATCTTACCAATTATAGTTAAGTCCTTGCTCCGCGCGCTTTCGATAAGGCGTGAACCGTTGTATTAGCAATAAAAGTTAGGTGTCTTTTCGCTGAACCGAGTTAAAAAGACACAAATAGTTGTTGGGAACCAATCGTTCTTTGGAAGCTTATTTTCGTTTGCCAAATAACTTTACAGGGGTCAGAATAAATCAACACATAATACTGTGAAATATATAGAGCAGGTTAGATTATCATTTGTACCTGGCATTTGTAGTCTCGACCTCCTTTCTTAGGAATACAATCAGCGTAAAGGCTGCATGGGTTGCTTCTTGGATTATCGCTGCTACAATAGTCAAGAAAGATGCATGCTGTGCGTGGGTCCCCTGTGTACCCAGGTGGACATGGCGAGCACTGGTAACTACCCTAAAAACAATTAAATTCAAAGGTTACTTCTGGATTTGTCACTTATACAATGTACGGTGGAAATGAGAGAACGATGCTAATGCAAAACTAAGACAGTTAGGTCGTGCGTATTGCACAGCGGTTTAGCTAATCTAATATACTTTGACATTGGTAGAGTACAAACATTAAATGTGTGCAACACATTCCACTATTTACAACAAAATAGTGTTAATTAAACAATAAAAAACAATAGAATTAGCATAATTTAGCAGTATTTAGTGGTATTTATGTTGCACAGTTTTGGTGTTTGTACTCTAGTCAGTGCACAGCCGTATAGCCTCTATTGCAGCCCGACAAAAGGGGATGCTGCGAAGGAGACTAACAGTCGTAGAGACTTTAATTTACACTTATATGAAAACACAGGTAAACACGTAAAAAGAAACATATACTTACCACAGTGTTAAAACACTTAGAATGCTGAGAACACAAGGCTGTACCTTCTTTACATTCATTGATATCTTCACATACCTACATACAAACACTTGGTTAGCCGCTAGGGGCGAACGTCGACACATTATAATTATATAACGACGCTCGCTCTCATTGGACGATGGCATTCGATATCATACTTAACAATAGTGATATATTATAAAACATTGCGCCTTGATTGGAGGAAGGTCATTCCCAATCATACACAAATAAAAATGATATATTATATAACGCGCGCTCTTATTGGCTGATGCGGCATTCCAAATCATACACCAATAAAGATGATGTTTTATATAACGCGTGCTCTTGTTGGTGGATGCGGCATTCCAATAAAGGTGGCTTATTATATAAGGCACGCTCTTATTGGCTGCCAATGGGAATTCTCAATTATATATAATAAAAGTTGATAAATATAGCGGGCGCTCTGATTGGATTACAAGTAATGGCAATAAGGCATATGGCCTGCCAGACAAGCGACTTCAAGCTATATTCAAATGAAGGGAAGACACGTAAACATTTTTCATGGAGAAGGGCTGGAAAAGTTCTATTACCCTTTTTCTGCAATCTCTTAGGGTGTCGGAAAGGAAAAGAAAGAGCGCATCGATATCGATTTTCCTCTGCGTTTGGAATCATTGGAACTGATTTAATTTAACAATATTTGCTGTGCAATCTCTTAGTGGTTAAAAGTCAGTCAGTCACGGCCTTTTTTCAATACTTCTGGGATCTTTTAGGGTTTGTTTTGAAAATTTCTGACGAGTATCCCCGGTACTTTTACCCTGGAGTCCCCCACCGGGGTTCTTTAGAGCTGCGAAATTACTTTCTGCATTAATGTTGCACAACAAGTAATTACCCTATTACGATATGAATGCACATTAAAGAAAAGAAACAAAGCATTAAGGTTGACGTCAAACTTCTCTCTCATCAATCTATTATCCTACCTGCTTATTTGTGTGAGCAAATCTAATTCCAATACCATAGACTTCTTTACCCCTAAAGCCAGCGGGACACGGAGGGCACCAGTATCCAGGACTACGATTCTGACACTCCGTGATTGCAGAGCATGGATTGGCGTGACACTAGAACATCAACAATGGCAAGTTATTGGTTGAATATTGTGCAAGACGAAATCATCATTCGAGAAAGCTCTAAGCCTGGTTTTTCCCATTGACGCAAGCGCAAGTTCAAGCGCAATCATAAGGATATATTCGGAGTGAAACCGAGAAGGAGATGAGCAAAAACATTTATTTTAATTCAGCCATCTCAGGACGAGAAAGACTAATCGAATAAAGTCTGCGATTGTTGAACAATCTAACGCAAGCGCAAGCACAAGAACAAGATGAAAGTGTCGTACCTCATCGATGTCTGTACAATTTACGCCATTCCCGTCCATACCAAGTGGACAATCCCCACATTCAAAGCCCATCTCGCTGTAAGGATCATTGAAGCAAGGGACACCGGGATAGCACGGTTTGAATTTACAGAAGTCTCTTGCTGTGGAAAAAAAAAAAAAAACATTTCAGCGTCTGTTACCTGACCCTGCGTGCAGAAATATTTTTCTACTCCCTTCTACGAAGAAGGACAGAGGAAACAAAAAGTCCTACCTCTACACATTTGACAACTTTCGACAATCTTCCGCAGATACTTTATTTCTGATACCTGTTGAAGAGTAACGCAACTGTATATGTAACGCAACGCAAAGTCACATCATGTGGAGGAACCGAAAAAGAAAGCAAGTAAATATTGAAAAGAAAACAGAAAAAGGGCACCTGGAAGGTGGTTTACGATTTGCGGGTTTGCATGGAATAACAAAGGTAATCAAATGGCGTGACACATTCTTTCGTTACATACCTGAGCACTAAAATCGTAACGCAAGTCTTTAATCCAGCCCTCTATCTGAATCATCATTGATTGAGTCATAATCTCCGTACCACGAGGTTGTATTGGTGGTTTTGCTATAAAAAACAAGTTAAAATATTAAAAATTTGAAGTGTTAAGAAGTGAATCCCAACCCCTATCGCTTATATGTATGATATAAGGCTTGTGATGAAGACTAGTTGAACTGAGCATGCGTGAAATAAATATACAACTTTTTCTGGATCCCAGAGTCCCAAGTATATAACACTGCGCAAGCTTGGAGAAACGTTTTAATAAGCACGTCCGCGATATATAAATTTGACCAATGCATATGGCACTGCGCATGCTTGGAGGCATGTTACAGCAAGCATGCGCAGTGCCATACGCATTGGTCTAATTTATATATACAACGCGCAATATAGAATGGGGACTGAGATTCCATGAAACATATTCCAGGACAACAAGCGACAACGAACGTCGAAGAATGAAAAATTCAAGAGAAAAAACACTGGTTTGCACAAGAGAATGACACAAATGAAAAATTAGAAAACATTCAAAAGAAAATAGCCATAGCCAAAAAAAAAAAAGATAAAGCAAAACAATAATGCAATAGACAAAAACAACAACAACATATTTAAGAGGCAGTCTCTGTAAAAGCGGTCTGATGAATTTCGGCTCAGAAATAGTTTTCCCTCAAATTTCTACCATGAATTGCCCTATCATAGTAA